AGAGGAGAAGAAAAGAAAAGAAAAGAGAAAGAAAAAACGATCGTAGATACCTACCTACCGCGCGTTGAAATCACTAAAATTCCTTCGTTGACGCAATTAATGTTTTCTGTTTTTCTTGCTCCGTCGTTTCTCTGTTCGCTTTGGAGATAATAGTTAATGGATATAGGATGATTAAGGGTAAGGAAAGAAAAAGGGAGAATAAGAAATAGGGAAAGAAGATGGATAATTAGCTAGCTATATATATATATATATATATATATATATATATATATATATATATATATATATATATATATATATATATATATATATATATGAGCATAAACAAAAAGAGAGAGAGAGAGAGAGAGAGAGAGAGAGAGAGAGAGAGAGAGAGAGAGAGAGAGAGAAGAGAGAAAGACAGACAGACAGAGAAGAGAGAAGAGAAAAGAAACAGAAACAGATATGATCTCTCTCTCTCTTTCTTTTACATGCATACACAAAGGTCAAGGAAATGTCTGAAATACCTCCTCCAAGATGAAACTGTTACATATATTGTATGTAAATTCCCCAACCAGGAAAGCAAGAAGCAATCCATTATCATTTACCGGTTCCTTGACAACACAATGTTTCCAAATGAATTCGTAAATATGGGTCGTTTTTGGGAATCTCTTTGCCGACGTCTAAACAATGCGCAAGTGTTTTTCGTCACTGTGAAAGATTCTGTAAGTGGGTTGCGATTTTGTTGTGTTCGCTTGGTCGTCTTTACTAAAAAGTGAGATGGAGAGATATGTTACGATAACGAGAGAGAGAGAGAGAGGAGAGAGAGGGGAGAGGGAGAGGAGAGGGAGAGGGAGAGGGAGAGGGAGAGGGAGAGGAGAGGAGAGAGAGAGGAGAGAGAGAGAGAGAGAGAGAGAGAGAGAGAGAGAGAGAGAGAGAGAAGAGAAAGAGAGATAGAGAAGAGAAAGAGAAGAGAAGAGAAGAGAAAGAGAAGAGAAGAGAAGAGAGAGAGAGAGAGAGAGAGAGAGAGAGAGAGAGAGAGAGAGAGAGAGAGAGAAAGGGAGACACAGAGAGACAGATAAAAGAGAAAAAGAGCAAAGGCATCAAGATGAAAACTGGAAACTGGTAACTCAAAGATTAAGATTTTTTTTTTTTTTTTTTTTTTTTTTTTTTATCAGATCAGTAAACGTTCAGACATACACGCGCGTGCCGACACAATCGCGTATTTGACACAGTACACGGACACTCATACACCGTATACACAAACATACCCTCACACTTGTGTACATGAAACCATATATGCTTATGAGTGAACGTACATTGTGATTCGCGTATACAAATACATACATAAATGCATAGATAAACACTCACATATGCCAACACAAGCATATACGTATTTACACAGATACATGCAGGGATTCAAACACACACACACACACACATCTATGCACACACACACTCACATGCATACACACACCTCAAGTCTTTCGCAGAACACGAGACAAAAAAAAAAAAGAAGAAATCTTTAATTATCATCATCATTACCCTTTTTCCCTCACGAGCAATAGTTAATGACCTTCCCCGAATCATTAACTGCTCGCACGGTTTCGAACACCCTCCTATCGTTCGGATCCACGGAATATCTATAGACGAAATGATCATAGAGCGAACATAAAATCCGATTCTTAACATGGGATCAGATTCTCCTTGAAGAGAGAGCTAAGGAGCTTCGCTTGTGAGGATCAGACCGTCGTTTATAACCTGTAATTAAGCCGAGATCGGGAATTAGAACGCTGTAATTAGCTGTTTATTTGGAATTGGATTTTTTTTGGGGGTGGGGGTGGGGAGGGTGACAGGAAGGGGGTAGAAAAGGGAGGGAGGGGAGGGGGAGGGGATGGAGGGAGGGGAAGGGAGGAAAAGGTAGAGAGGATGGTTTTATAAACAGGGAGAAGAGAGAGGAGAGAGGGAGGGAAGAGGGAGGAGAGGGAGGGAAGGGGAGGAGAGGGTGAAGGGAGGAGTGGGAGGAGAGAAGAGGAAGGAAAGATGAGGAAGGGTAGATGAGGGAGAAAGAGAGGAGACAAATAAGAAGACAGATAAAACGAAGAGAGGAGATACAATGAAGAAAGAACCAAAGAAACCCAGAAAAGGAAAAAAAATCAAACAGAAAAGAATAAAAGAAAACGAAAGAAGAGAGATCCAGACAGAGAAAGAGAGAGAGAGAGAGACAAGAGAGAGAGAAGAAAGAGGGAGGAATGAGTGAGGGAGAAGGGGGGGGCAGCTTGGTTTCATGTTGGAGATCGTGATGTTAAGGTGTTTTAAGAATTAAGATCATTATTGCACAACGTATAATTTTCTAATGATGCGTTAATTCAGGATCGGATCTCTTTTTTATTATTATTTTTTTCAAGGTATTTTAAGTTGCTTTTAGAGGAGATTTTTTTTTCTTTACTGAAGCGATGATGTCCTGAAATATTAACTTTTTTTTTTTTTTTTTTTTTAATCGTATGGTAAAGATGCTGATGTGAATTGTACTAATCATTTCATAATAAATATTCACCGCATCTATCTAATAATATGTAATTTTTAATATATATATATATATATATATATATATATATATATATATATATATATATATACACATATGTGTTCTTCCTACTTTACTAAATTCATTATTATTATTACTTTTAATAAACTCTTGCCAACGTAACATCTCACGCCTTCTTTTAAAGGTTCCCACTTAGCTGATTTTATTATCATAATTATTGTTATTATCTTTATCAATATAATTATTATCATCCTTATCATTATTTCTATACTATTGCTATTATTATGGTCATGAATGTTGACATTATCTTTCATATTTTTAATGTTGCTGTTATTGTTATCATTATCAGTATTATCATTATCATTTTTACTACCATCATCATCATCATCATTACTATTATTATCATTATCCTAATTCTAATATTATGATGATATTCAATATTACCATAATCACCATTATCATTGCTCCCACTATCATCATCATCCTCATCATTATTATTATCTTTTAATAACCCTTCAGTCAGTGGACAGAAAGGTTATTAAAAGCTCAAATGCAAACAAAAAGTCTAAGGTAAAAACATCTCCCAAGACGCGGTTCCTTGTCTATGGCGTGTTGTCTACAAGCACGAGCTATTGTAAATCGCTCCGCCATTCGATCCAATTATGTTGTGGTTGAGTTCGATTCCGATGCTTTATCGAGGATGACAAATGCGCATCGCCCAGGGAGGGAACGCGTTCGAATTACACTTTATCGCTTACTTATCGAGATCTATACTTTTCGGAAGATGAGGGGGAAGAGGGAGAGAGGATTGTGCTCCTTGACTCTTCTCAGAAAAAAGGGGGTGGAAAAAAATAGACGAATAAGGAGAAGAGCAAAGAGGCGAAAACGATTGAAATTTCTTCCCGCCTGGCGAGTCCTCTCGACCGCCTGGCATTCCAGCGAAGTGTTGTTTAAGCTCTGCGTCCATCAGCTGAAGAGCTTTTGTTAAGCTGTAAACGCTTTTTTGGTGAGGGGAGTGAGCTGGATGTGATTGCAATGTTGATTAGTCAATTATATGCGTTTGATAACACTCGATAACACATAACAGCGACCCTCCCGCGAATGAGGCGAGCGAGCCAATCACGTGCCCTGACGGTATGCCCGTTCGGCCAATGGGAGCGCTCTTTAGCAGGAGGGGGCGTGGCCTCGTCTCCGCACCCGCCAACGTGCCCAGTCGAGTTAGTCAAGTGTTTGGCGGTGTTGCGGACCAGCTGAGTAAAACCCCCCAAACGAAACTCTCCTTTACACACATCCCATGGAGGGGGAGCAGGACATTTGAGTGACCATGTCAGGTTTGGAACACACGACATCCCTTTCACTAAGAGCCAAGTGCCTATGAATACTCGAAACACAACAAAAAACTCTGAGGCGTTCCATGCAAAAAAACTAAAACAAAACGCTGAGCCAACAACCCAAAGGTTTCCAGCGAAATACATGCGGTTCCCCAGAGCCCAGGAGAGCCCGAGGCAAGGATCTTTTTTCTCTCCCTCTCTCTCTCGCTAGTTCCTGCACGGACGCCTGTTTCCGCGCCCTCCAGTGCCCTTCCACGCGGCGTCGAAGGAGTCGAGGTCGGCCACGCACGGCGCGTCCTCTCCCCGGCGACAGCGACAGCGGCGTCAGTCGGGACTCACTCGCGCTCTCCTCGTGACCGACTGAGGAGACCTTCGGGGCTAACTGTTATTCTCTCTCCCTCTCTGTCTCCCTTTTACCGCCATCTCTCTTGCTCCCGTTCGCGCGCCCGCACCGCGCCGAGGCTCGACCGCGCCCGGAGGCGTCCTTTTCGCACAAAGCATCCCCCGAAGGCCTCTTGCCGGGGCTCTCGACGTGGCTCTTCCTCAGCCCCGTCGAGCCGAGGCCGTTCTCGCGCGGCGTCCCCGAGCGAGCGCCCGACGCCAGCGGAGGTGCCAGCCGAGCGGAGACGCCCGCGAGCGCCCGTCGGGCCCCACTCGGCCTCCTATCTCCCATCGCGTCGATGCCCCAGGGATCTCCTCTGCGTCGGACGGACGCCGCCTGCAGGAGCGCATTATGGTAAAGGACTTCCGCGTGCTCGAGTGCTTGGCCGCGCCTCTGTCCTAGGAGAAGACGTGTGGAAGGAGGCCTTTCAGTGCGGCTGCAGTGGTGATCCGTCGAACAGTGTTCCCGGTGCGGTGTTCTGTCATGAACTGTTCTGAAGACCTTTGCTGAACTACAGTGTGGAGACAGGAATCGAAATTAAAAAGGAGAAAAGTCCTTAATGATTTTAAAACAATTCTATGTGCGAAAAGGAACAAGATCCATAAAGAAAGACGAGGAATCCGAGAAACAAAAGAAAGAAACTCAATCTCACATTTAAAAAAAGGAAATAAGAAAATAAAAGAACATCCCCTCCAGCGTAGTCATGCACGCAGGAGTCGCATGACCAGTAAACGGGAAAGATAGCAATAGACACAAAAGA